AGGAAAATGATTTTTTTTTAAAAGAGGCGAACCCTCAATGACATAATATTTTTGAGGTTCCCCTCATATGTGCAACAACAAAAACAGACAAAACCTTACAACCCCCAAAATACATAAGATTCTGAGAACCAGATCAGGTCTAGCATGCATCCTAGCATGCATCCTAGGGGGAAGTTTTAAATGTTCAGGTCAGATTCCAATGCACTGCATTCAGAGACCAGTACCCTCCTATCCCTCAATTGTGGATAAAGATAGTTCACTGCAGGTTTACTATTTTCTCATAGTTCCACCAATGAATCTTGGGCTCCCACTGTCATCCATGACCTTCTGCCAACCAGATTCTCAGACTTTGGGCTCTGATAATAATCCCTCCCTTCAACTTCTGATTATATGCTTCATAGTCCTTTGGTGACTGATGGTGGTGTGCTTCTTCCATATGGACTTAGTTGACAGCTCTCTTAGATGGCTACTTATAAAGACCCAAGTCTTTAAGACCCCTAATGCTATGTTATCTGACAGCAAGACACTATCTAATTTCTTCCCCACGTTTTGTTATAGCATGCATCTCTTCCTTGTTCCCATACTGGAGGTGAATATCAAGCAGGGCCATGATATAAGAACTAATTGTTCTTCAGTTGGAGCTGGGATTTAGTGTGAGTTCAAAAACACTGCTGGATCTATGTTTGCTTGTTTGCTCTTTCTATTTATTCTTACTTGGGAATTAACCCAAATATCATATCACTGCATCGTTCAATCTCATCAAGCAGAATTGAACCATTGCTTCCATAATCAGTTCCCAAACATCCTATTTCTTCCTGGGGACCTTGACATCATCTCCCGTTTTTGTGCCTCTGCCTGACCCCCTTCTTCTACTTGCTATTCCTGTAGGTTCATCAATCCTGGGTTTTGTTTACCAAAAAAGAGAACAACTTATTTCACAACTACAATTCCCTGCTCCATAGCACCTCTGAGATAGACCCGGATATGATGAAACAGAAGCCACATACATCAGAATGATCATCGCTGGTTTGCCAGAGTAACATATATCTTAATATAACGTACAGGGCATTGGTGTAGCGAGACCTTGTCTGTCCGCCCACCACCAGCTCTCCAAACTTGGTACAGCTGTCTTCTGCTTCCTAAAACACGTTGTGTCTTCTGGCTTAAGTACTCAAGTTCTAGGTGTGTCTGAGGTGGAGTCCAATTCACCCAGTGGAGTTCTGGTGTCCCCCAGTTCTATTGTTTCTTTCAAAAGCATGATGTAAAGAGAAACTGTGCAGTTTACAGAGAGTGCCAAAATGCTGTTCGTGAGAGAAAAATGCATGAAAAGATACTTCATGGGAAC